GTTTCTGTTTGTCGACAGAAAGACGACAACGACGGTGCCTGAAAATGGCACTCTCGCGCCGCTTGTTCCTCCTGTGATCGCAGAACTTCTTAGCTTCAGAGACGGAACCATTTCACAAGGATTTCGTCCGATGCGGGGTTGCTTCACCCAGGAAGAGTGTATTGAACAGTTACAGGTGCGCCGCTGCTCTGTTTCTGTTTGTCGACAGAGAGACGATGACAACGGTGCCTGAAAATGGCACTCTCGCGCCGCTTGTACCTCTTATGATCGCAGACCTTCTTCGCTTCAGAGACCGAACCGTTTCACAGGGCTTCGTCCGATGGGGGTTACTTCGCCCAGGAAGAATGCAGCACACAGTTACGGGTGCGCCACTGCTCTGTTTTCGTTTGCCGACAGAGGAACGACGACAGACCTTCATCTTCTATTTCTCGAAGCACCTGGCTCTGATACCATGAAAACTTTGCGGAAATTCTTCTTCTTCTTGTTCCCTTATTTTGAAAGGTACATCCCTATATATACAAATAGGAGCCTCACTTTCACTAGGAGTTGATTGTTCAAATACATCTAGGAATACAGAGCATCCACCGAAGATTGCATTTCGGTAGGAAGGTTACGTGCAGATCTGGTTTCCCAATAATGTGTACTCGGTTTTTTCATTGCTGACCAACGGAAGAAGCCTTTGGGGAGTTCTTTTTCATATCTTGAACCGAGTTGCATCTCATTTTTGTAACTATGACTTTGTTCAATCTCTCATTTCTTAACATTTTTTTAGGGCAAACCCTCTAACTAATTAATAGGTCAAGCAATTGGAATTTCAGCAGGATGATCTATTACTCTTGCATACCGTATGAGTTAGCAATTCTCTCGTCACTGACCCAGATTTCTTCAACTGATTGCAATGGCTTCTCTCTCTCTCCGTTTTTGAGCAGTAGCATCTGTAATCAGTTGGTTTTGTGGTAAGCCAATGAAAGAAGCCTTTGTATCAGTTCCTCTTTTTTTTTTTTTAACCCAAAGCACTAAAATGTTTGTTTTCAAATAGACTGAAGAACAAGGTAAACGTGGCTCCAGACGTTTGATGGACTGGACGATTAGCTACAGGATTAAGATTTGAATAATCAATGTGTTTCTTCGTATTATTGAAGAAATAAAGGACCTTTTTTTCTTTGTATGGTATTTATGTATTCATTTCAGGTTCTTACCAATTTCCTCTTGACTTCAACAACTCCACACTACTCGTTCTCCTCAATTTCTCGGCCTCACAAACAGATGCTGTTTCAACTCAGTTGAGGAAGACGGCAAGAAGAATGCAGATGGAGACGGGAATGGAGATGGAAACGAAAAACGGAGACAAAAATGGAAATGGAGCAACAATCTGCTTCCTATTTTGTTGAAAATTTTTATTAATTGAAATTTATTTTAAAAATTTAAGGAACAATAAACAGTAATGATAGAATTAATCAATTAACTAAATCATAATAATAGTTAAAAAATTCGTTTGCTTCTTCATCTCTTAAAATGCAGGTGCCATTCAATTAATGTGAATAAGAACTCTAATGTTTGGCAGTTGAGTAATTGAATTGGCATTAGATGAGTTCTATCTGACAAGAGAATTTTAGTCAATACACGTTACTAATAAATGTACATTTCTCAGCGTATGGGACAGTCCAGCCCATCAGCACTCAAAAGCTTTATGTGGATGGGTCCCTTCTCCCTTGAAATTGTCGAATCGGTACAGATGGAGGGACTGGCGCCAACACAGCACTCGTCCTTCTATTCATACTTCCTTCTTAGGAATGCAATTGAAATTCAGAAGAATTTCATTCCTGGAGTTCGGATCAGCTACTAACGCATGGTCCCAACAACATCCCAACCTGCCATTGCAGCAGTACATCAGAACATCTCTCTAAGAATGACAAAAGAAGCATATTCCTAATGTGCAGTTGCAGTGGTAACTTGGGACAGTGTTGGAAGCGTTTTGTTGATAACAGAGATCCCTATCCGCATTATTGTTTTAGAGGGTCTGCATGAATTAGGGATGCTCATAAAAAACTATAAAAAAAAAAARAAAATCGAACCGTATATACTCGTATGATGAACCTTATTTGTGGATTTCATTTCAAAAGGAATTCCAATAGAAACTTCAAAAACTTCAAGTTGAACTTCTTCCAGCTTATAAATCTTGTCGATAAGATACAATGACCAAGAATTACTAAGGGAACTTGAGTTTTGGATTTGTCGGAATTAGTTTATACTTATGCAGTGTGGAGGCCAAAAACAAGTACAAGTATTATAAGTCTAATGGATCAAATGGTAACAGCTGAAGTGCAGAACTGTATGGATTATGGATTATTGCTTTGCTTATTAGTGAAAAAACAGAATAATAGCAGTTCCAGATAGGACGAGGCTGGAATTATTAAAAAAAAAAATGAACAATTAAATGTCAAGAGAAATTTAGACTATGTTTCATTTGTTATTCTGGGGCTCATTCTTTTAATTCTTGTTTATCTTGAGTAAGAATGAACAATAATGAATGACATTTCTTGTCAAGGGCCTCATTCTTTTTTAGAATGAAAAATCAATCTATTACAAAAAAAATAAAAAATAAAAAATTGAAATAGCCAGCAACATGAAAAATAGTCACATCTCATCTTGTTCATTTTCATTCTTTAAAGAAACTTTATGTCGGATGTCGTAAACTGCTAGTCTACGTCTACAAAACTATTGCATTAGATGTTTAGTAGCGGACTGCCATGGAAAATTACGCTGGCAGGCATTGATCATCGGCCATCCGCCGATAAATATCTTTATTGACAGCTTTGGATACAGCTCGCACAAAATTTTTTAGAAGAATGAAAATAAGCAACATAGGGCACGGCACTTGCCAGTCTAAAAAAATCATTTCTTAGGAAAAAAAAAGATTGATTCATAACAATATTTTTTCATTCTGTCCATTTTTACCCAGTCTTGTTCAGTTTAGAATTTCCTAGATAAAAATGAAAAAAAAAATGAGAGCTAAACCAAACATGACCTTAAAGTGTTACTGAGGGTTCTAAGCCAAGCCAAAACCCAAATCAAGGCCCTTCTAGTCTCCAAAGGCATTAGCATAGACCCTGAATGCTCTATGTGTGGCTACGATATAGAGGATGAAATCACATATTGGTTTGGTATAATTGGACTAAACAAATTTGAATGGCCATGAGCGGTGAGCCCAATGTGCCCGGGCCCAAATGAGATAGAGAATAAGTTGTGCTCAAACGCAATGGACAGCTCCAACAAAACCATTATATTGGGCTTTTGATCCAATTATTCAGACATGTTTGAACTTTAAACCCAAAAGATCGAATTAAACGTGCAGGAGTCATTCAAATATCCAAGTGATTCGTGCCATTAGTAGTCCAACTACATGAAACATTAGGTTCATATGGACTGAAAGCGGTCAACACGACTAACTCTAAACTTCCATGTGACAGCAAATTCTTAAGAAACAACTAATAGAAAAGAGGGATTGGTATATATGTGTGAACAAAAGAAAAGAGAAGATACTCATAACCACTAGAAGTCTAGAATCTTTCAGGCTTTGCTTTCCCTTATTTTACTCCTTGTGTTGATAGAAATTTTCCCCCTTCTTGTTCAAGTTCAACTTTCCGATTCCTTCAAATAAAAATAAAAATTGATTCCAGGTTATCTTTTAAAGCTATTTCACATGGAAATAAGCTTATAACGGTAAAAATTAATAGCATAAATTTGRCTAAATCAACACTTTTATAGGACAACCAAAGGGAGTTTGGAGTCGATGGCGTTTCCAAAAAAATAAAAACGATGACATGCCARCACCTCATCCTCTCTGTTTGGTTGGCATTTTTCCAAAAAACAACTACACCTAGAAAATTATGTAGGCATGAATATGATTTGAAAAAACGTCAAAAAAAGATGTTTTCTTATTTTATATTTTTACACTGTTGCTAGCAATGGTTAGCTGACATGACAATGGAAAACTCGGATAGCAACAATGGAACAGAACAAAAAACATTAAAAAATGCCATACTATTGCATCATTATTTTATTAAAAAACAGCAATGAGACCAAACACCATTCAAAAAACCGTCTTGGCTGCTAGCTCTGATGGTCAAGTCCAATTCTGACAATACTAGGTGGAATAATTATTAAGTTTTAATGCAAATGTTGACTCCCATAAAAGAATAAAATACCAGTCAATTTTTTTTGTCTCCCATGAAAAAATAACCCTTTTTTTTGTTTTGTCTTGTGAATTCTTGTAAATGTTATATATTGTTGAATTATTATGTTATCATTATTATTCTAGGAATGTCGCTTCTAATTATTCTAGGAAGACAGAATCCGGGGGTCACTCATAATAATGATTCAAGTATCTTTTAGGGTCATCCATATATTAAGGTAGCATTTGCTTGTATTTTTTAGACGTTTGAATCTGAAAATGTTGCTTTTCAGATGTCACATTTGTTTGATGTTGCATCTGAAACATTTTAAAACTTTTTTTAGATCTTGAGAGTCAGGACTTCTAGCCACTTTTGAATGATAATACTTATAATTTTTGAACCGCTGTTGACCTGAATAATTAGACCATTTGGCCTGGAAATCGCCTAGACAACCGGTTCCATTTTACCCCAAACCTAGTTCTTGGTAAAAAAACTACTAAATCGATCAACAACCTATTGATCACGATGATTGAACCATTGACTCATTTGACTGGTTCAATATTTTTTATCATTTTTATTTTTATTTTTATTTTTTTATTAGAACAGGCCATTCATTTAAATCAAATGATCAAACCGTCGACCAAAAAATCAGTGTCCCAAACAGTTCCATTTCTAAGTCATTTTTTTAAAACATTAATAATGCTCATCCGTTTTGGCTCAAATTTTAAAAGCTACGAGGGAACATAATACACAACTGTGCATATTAGACATATCAATACTTTGAATCACGATATTATTGGTGGTATTTTATGATATTTCGTGATATTATTTGTAATAAACTGTTTATTAGGGGTCATCATGAGACATGCCGTGTGGTGGCTTAATGTGAATATTACAAATAATGGTTACACAAATAAAATTTTTTGTTGTTTCATTTTATTTTGTTTTATGTATACACGTGCATGGCACATGCCCTTCACGCCATTTTGATAAAATTAATGCGAAGTAAAGCCTATACTCGTTGTGACAAGAAAACAACCAGCGAAAGAGTCGAAAACAACCATTGCAAATGGAACGATGTAGTTGAGGAAGCAACACTAAAATCGGTGGCCGCTGCAGCTGTAGGGGCAGACGCGGGACTGGCAACAGGGATATCGCACGTTCCAAAAGTCGCATTGGCCTGCTCATGTACAGACAGCCTAGTTTAGGAGCTCACCCACGATAATCAACATTTCTTCATTAATTCCAACTCAGAATTCAAAAGTAAGATTACTTGTAACGAAGTTAAATAGGTTAGTGGGCATTTAAACCATCATATAAATTTATTATATACAAGTCAAAAGCTGGATTCAGATTTACTTAGAATCCAATCCGAGTCCAATATTTCAGATTTCAATAGGAGTTCACATTTGAAGTTTGAATAAAGTGGATCTGATTTAGATGTGGTTGAATTTGATCTAATCCAACCTACTTACAACCCTACAAGCAAATGCAATAAAATGTTTAATAGTTATGATGCTGATAAAACTGTAATTAATAACAATATTTTAAAAATCCAGCTCTGAGGCTGAACTGTTTTTACCTCAGGATTAACAGGTCAGCAGTTTAACACTTTAACCATCCAGATTAATGGATCAATCTTAACAAAAAAAATTCAAAAAATTAAAACAATTTAAAAAGGGGATAACCATTTGAACATGACAGGCCAGATAAATCGAGAGCTTGCATGCAAACCCGAATGAAATACAAATACACGAGCACTAAGAAATAAAAAATCAGTTTATGYGATGCTTTAAATTTATCGCAAAAATGCAAACGCTGGTACTCGCATTTTATTGAAGTTCCTCTCGATTGTCCTGTGACCAGGGTTGCAGGAAATGCAAGTTTAGGGTGGTGTTTGACATTGATGCCGTTTTTTGAGAAAATGGTCACTATATCAGAAAAAGTGGTATTTTAGAAAGCGGCTTTTATATTTGGTACTATTTTTCTAGGAAAACATTGTTCCAGACCACGTCTTGGAAGTCAGAACAGTATGGTCTGAAGAATGTTAAACTTAAAGTTTCTCAAAAAATAGTCTGTTGCTATCAGCGGTGCAATGATATGRCATCATCTTGGACATTGGATAATATAAACTAATGCTGAAAGCAGTTCTACAGCACCACTACCATACAAAATCAATGCTATTTTCCCAGAAAAAAAAACTTATGTGGCAGCATCAATGCCAAAGAGAAAAAGAGTCATGGTTTTTTAAGAAAACAGTGCAACAAAATCTCATGCATATAGGAAAACATCTCTAAAACAATGGCATTGATGCCAAATACCTACTAGATAAATCAATGGTTCAACTATTAATGTCAGGTAAGTGAATGGTTGAATTGTTTAGGTCAACAGGTCATTGACTAAACAGTTTTCTGTAATATGATAGGTCAAATGTTGACCCAAACCGGAATTGTGACCAGAGCATCTGTCCAAGCAGCAAGCAGTCTACAACTTATTGGAAACATTGATTAATAGTAGCAAGTAATGTATAAGGTTGTTTGAAATACCTTGCAGTAGGCTATATTGGCACACCCACACGTTAGATGACCATTTGCTATATCTAGAGCTTCTGGAGTTCCTCCTCCATCACTCCTCTGTGAGAACAATAATCATAAAATAAATATATCTGTTGTTTAAGTTCCACTGATTTCTGATCAGGAATAAGCATACATATCAGTAATATCAATATACCTTGTAGAAATCAACAGCAATAAAATTTGGCCATCTTTTTCCAGCCGCTTCATAACAAGAGTTCATCATGCCAATAAGAGTTTTTGAATTATATGCACAAGCTTGGTCCGAGTTTGGGTTATCAGGGAAATTGTTCTGCAGGACAAGTGATCTCGTCTTTGCATTCATGGGAGATGATTCTTCACGGTTCGTACAAGTACCCGCTTCCAATCCAACACTGCCATCTGGCCCATCGTCAAAATCAGATTTTCATTTGTAGTTTGGTAATTGTGTTGATTTTAGAGCCATTTGGTTCATAGGAACAGAGTTTGGAATTGGAATCGGATGGCCCATTCTGCATCCAATTATTTGGTTGGATGGAATCAAAATTCATTTTCATTTCTGGTGGAATGGCAATGAGAGAATGGCCATTGCCTCCCCCTCCCTTGAAAATCTCACTTCAGTTTATTTCAATTCCCATTCTGAAATGATTCTTATTCCTGTCTGAACTAAACAGATTACAGAAATAGATCATTCTAATTACAAAGTTTTTTGATTCCAATTCTAACTACAACCAAACGAACCCTTAATTATGAATTTCTCTCTTTGAGGACTGAAGTGGTAGAATAACACTCACATTGATTCTCTACAATGTATGCCCATTCATACGCGATCCCCTCAGAGGCTTCCTTATTTGATTTAGAGGTGAAGACCACCAAACGCTGATTCTGTTGGACCATGTCGTCAACCGTGGGCCAGTCTGCACCATTCTTGGGCATTCTAGACACTGGAAACCAATATTTCCTAAGGCCGGCAGCATTGAAAACCTTGGTCAGTCCTTGTGGTGATGAGACATAGTCTTCAATGAAGATGGTGACAATTTCAGTAGGATTTGCTTCGAGAAAAACTTGAACCTCTTTCAACACGTTAATAGCAGGTTGCTGGTTGATCGGGTATACAAACAACCGGTTACAACTACTTAAATTATAAAATRGATTAAAGCAAATGAGTAATTCGGCATTAAAATTCAACATCACTTACAAATGCAGTGACGTTATAACATTTTCCACCAAAGGAATGACACAACCAGATGTCGTTTTCGAAGTCGTACATATCAAGCATCAATCCCCTAACTCCATTCTGCAAAAGAACCCAACTGATGTAAGTATGATGCCATATGTGAGGTTCATCCCTCTGCATTTTATGGTATAAATGCGGTATTATATAATGATGTCCACACAGCAAGTTACTTTGCCCACAAATCAAAGATTCATAATGACAATTGAAATTTCCATCCATATACGACTACACAGAGTCATCATATATACCATTTTTTTCTACGGGTAAGTATATTGCATTATACCTTAGAATTTTGAATTCCACTTTAGACTAATAATTCAAAAGATTAAATATTCCATCTTAAACATCAATACTCGCCTTTATTGACATCACTACACCTACCCCTATAAATCTATAATGGAATTTAGAATTTTAGGGATAGATTGAACAGTTATTCTCCCTTTCATCTAAAGTAAAACATTATAAAGAACTTCTTATATGGTTCAAAAATTAAAAGCAAATAGATCACAAAACATAGTTTTAAATGGAATACAAGGTTAATGAAAATTTTCAGTTTTAACACAGAAGAGTAAGGTCCGTTTTTATTCAACCGTACCAGATTTTTTTCAACCAGAGATGATGGCCCAAATTAAACACAGTGAAAATAATTGTAACTTTTCAGAGTCAAAGGTATTAAATGGGCCATCGAGAAGAAAGAGGTTGATTATCCCCTCAGTTGAAACCTTGCAAGTTGCAAACAGAGATGATGATGATAATTGCGTACCGTTTTCACATAAAACAATTAACAGGGGAGAAGTTGCAAGTGAATGAGGCAATCAACCACCAGACAGACTGGAATCCACATGCTGAAACGTATGTGACATGCAAGCAATAGAGACAAAGCCCTTACCCCAGATTCCAATCAAAAGGTATTACAAATCGATCACACTTCACTACTTTCTTATATATCTCTTTTTAATTTTTTTTCCTTCTTTCCTAACGCAGATTTTTTCTTTAAAGCGGTTCAAATATTATTCTTTAAAACATAGATCTCAGCCTCCTTCTGCATAACATAATAATAAATATGGAACAAATTAGATGGTAGGTAAAACAACGGTGGAGAAAGGGTTGCTTTCCTTATAGTTTAAGCAAACAATCATWATCCGCCGTAACCCATAAACCACCTCTAATCAATCTACCTACCGCATCAAATTCGATTATCTCATATTCTCATCTGACCAGAATTACCATTAATTCTAATTATTATTATGTTTAGATAATTTATTTTTATAAACAGAGATGAGGGATCTCCTCTAGTTCCACTAAATATAATCATTATTATTTTTCAATCGTTTTATTTTTTAAATTGAGGATGATCTATACATTTAGAACGAGAGCCGTGTCTTACATGTTTTTGACTTGGAGTGAATAGTATTACTCGAAGGAAATTTCATAATTCATTCGAGTCAAAGAGTAATCGATCACGATCACAGTTTTATCGGTTTAAAGACATGAGCCTGATGTCCTGTTCAGATCGCATCGAGTCCCCCACTTTGGGAATCCGAATCGTTTGTGTTTGGATTTTCCTTTCAGCCCAACCAAACACGGCCACGTCAAATGCAACATCTGATTTTACTGGTAAGTGTAAAAACACCCAAAATAGTTGCTTCAAGGGTTCGTCCCTCTTCAAAGAATAAAAGAGGTTTTTCTTTTTTTAGGCCTAACGAAAGAGGTTTTTGGTTTGTCTCTTGAATACTTACAACAGAGTGGCAAATGACAAATGGTGAGTTGTGTAAATCTTGTTTGTCAACTGTGACCCTTTGAAGATTTATCAAAAAAAAGGGGGAGCTGCACCTAGGGGTGGATTGAATCCTGCCCGTGGATTGATGTCAAATTCACGGGCAGGATGTGATTTATAGGGGGGGCTACTATAGATTAAGAGGGGGCTGCAAAAAAGATTTATAAGGAGGAATACAGTCCAAAAATTCCAAAAAAAAACTGACCCTTTAAAAATTCTGGGCCCAGGAAGCGGTGAGCATTGTAAATTAAAAAAACTGAAATAAAAATTTTAGTTTATGTTTGATTACATGGCGTTCATTGAAAAATTGTCATCACATCAGTGTCACAGATATTGAAGACTATTGTGCATAAAACTATTGTTTAGTTTCAATGTTTATCAATTAAATACTGTATGAGATATCTGGGAAAACGTTACATTCTGATTTTTTTATCAATTTTTTAATTTAAAATAGAAAATAAAAAAAATATTTAAAATTATGCTCAGCCCAAGATAACCCACAAAACCAAACATATACTTAATTTTTTATTTTAGATTATTTTTTAACCAAAAAATCAAATTAATCAGTTTTACTTATTATGAGTTTTTCAATTTATTCAAATCAATTCAGTTAATCAAAACAACCTAAATTTTCTTGCACTCCAACCAAATGCACATTGGGAAACATGTCTTTGTACCATTCGTTGTCATTTAGCGAGAGATGTTCCCAATATGCGGCTGTGGTGTTGTGTGCACGGCCAGTTTCGCTGCAATACGTGCTTAATTATTGATCACATGGAGCCAGCAGTCCATGCATCAGTATTTCTCTCTTTGTTTTTTGGATGCTTCTGACAATTATTTTGACGTGGTTAAGTTTTGTTGGATTGGAAAATTTCCTTCCAGTCCAAACGCAGACGATCAGGAGTGGTTCAAAGGTTGTAATAAAACTTGAATGAACGAACAGTTTGAAGTTTGAACAGCATCGGCTTTATGAAAAGGACAGTTTAAAGTCTTTTAAATTAGTAAAGAATGCTTGAGAAATGGGAATAGGAGGTAGGGCAGAGTAAAAAATAGCAGGCGAACGGAATCAATCAAATCAACCATCACCTATTAACCGGTTTTGATTAGCCAAAATTCTTTTCATACCATATCTTTCCCGCATAATAGATTTTCCCCCGCCTAAAACTTCTACTTCCATCTCGGCGAATTTCCGGTATGGCATGGTATTGAGATTTAGTAGAAATCAGATATTACTTACGTTGAACTGACTTGTAATGGAATCTTCCTGGTTTCGGGGTGCCAAAAGAGTTGATCCTATGGCCGGCTTGGCTCCCAAGAGAGAAAACGAGTTGTGCGTCGTTAGCCATGAATATCGATTGAATGGCAGCCCTTTCACCTAAAATCACACATAACACGGAAATTTAATATAAAAAGAAAGAATGACAAAATCAAAATAAAGTAGTACGAAAATTCGAAGTGGAAGATCAAAGCTTAAAGATAACTAACTAAAGTACCTTCGATGTCGGGTTGAACGGTTGGTTTCGAGCACATCTCGACTGGGCGTTGCTGTTTGTCCCGCACCTTTGGCAATGTAATCCGGCATCACAGTTTATGTCATCAACACAGATTTGTCCTTGCTGATAACGGGAAAAGCAATGGTGAGAGAGAAAAACAGATCTGAATGTTCTTTTTTCGCTTTTTGTCTCTCAGATTAAGAGATCAAAATATATAGAAGAGTTCAAAGGAAGAGCACCTTCAGCGCGCAAGAAGAGACGAAGATATGAGCAACCACAAACAAAGCCGCAATTGAGAGATCTGGGAGGAAGCTTTTGCTCTGCAAATAGATATAAAGTTGGACTTCTGTAATTGCAGAATATGAACAAAAATGACGAAAACTGGACTGTGAGGAGAAAATGAAATTCCATACCTTCATCTCTATCTTTTCGCCGATGTGCAGGGGGGAGAGGGAGAGAAAGAGAGAGAGAGAGAGAGAGAGAGAGGAAGTAGCAGTTGATATGAACCTCTCTCCTGCTAACTTTGTTTTCTTCTTCTTCTCCTTCCCTCTCTCTCCGTCTGGTTTTGTCGCTTTTTTTTTGGTAAGGCTGGTTGTCAGTTTGTGCTGTCGGCTCTCCTCTTCCCTCCTCACCCTACATGAAAGCGATCTCGGCTTTCCTATCCCTTTTGCAATACAACGAAATTAAGTAGTTTGTGAAAAGGCCAAATGGGTCGAGGGTTTATACTTTAAACAAATAGGGAAAAAAGTGTTAAAAGGGGATTCCCGCTTCCCTATGCGACCCGTCCCTCCATATTTTGCCACGTGGATAAATGACGTGGCATATTCAAATAGTCCATTGCCATTGCGTTGGAGTGACATTATGACTGCAAACTGATCGGATTGGATTCGGGTATATACTATCACAATCCGATAAAAATTCATGGGATTTCCAAAATTATGATTTAAAGTTGAATAAGAAAGGATATCATATTCGATTTGGAGTGTAATAAAAAAAATTGATGATATAATATAAATAATATAGAGAAGGAATATATATATATATATATATAATATTTCATAACTAATAGATCATATTAGGGGTGTTCATGAAAAACTGAAGGATTGGTTTAGTTTTCGATTACCCTAGAAAAAAAAATTGACGGTTAAATGAACCAACCGGTATATATATTTATATGTATATTTTAAATATATGTCATATATTTTCTATATATTATATATAAATATATGTATTATATATATAAAATATATACATATATTATATTTATAATAATCTATTTATAAATATATTATATATTTTTATAATATCTATAATATATTATATATCATTTATTATTTATAATATAATATTATACATATATTTATATAATATATGTTATGAATATAAAAAACCAAAAAACCGAAGAACCAAAGAACCAAACCAATCAAAAATTGAAATTGACGAACTGGTTAACCAGTGGTACTGGTTCGGTTTTGATTTGGAGAAATTGAAAAACCAATAAGACTGATTTAGTTTGCAAAGAATATCCATGATTCAGTTAACCAAACCGTAGACACCCCTAGATCAGATTGGGTTATGATGGATCAAATTGAGGCATATCTGAATTCAATACATTAACTAAAATGATGTTTGCAAGAAACCATTATTTGGGTTCAATGTTTATAAAAAACAGAAAAAAAAAAACACATAAATGCCTTGATGTTCGTGAATGGAATCATTGGAGGAAGCTTCAAATTTTCGCTTCTCCCAACAGCTAATCATTTCCCAAAACATGGAGCTGACCTGGCAACCGATGTGGCAGACCATAACTCTGATTCGATGCATCGCAGGCCATTGTTCCAAAAATGAGAAAACAAACTAAACCCTAGGCACTACGGTTTCGCTCTAGAAGAGAACACACAAACACAGCACCGTCGCCTTTGCAAGGAGTTTGTTCACACACTGTTGCTGTGTGTGCCAATAACCACATCCTCTTGCCATTAGACGCCATTAATTTTTTCCACACCGACGATAATTGAAGAAAATGTTTTTTTAGATCCCCATGTCTCTCTTGCATCTAGWTCTCCTGTTCATAAGAATTCTGCCCACGTCTATTCACATAACATTACAGTCACACATGAAGAACATTTTATCCTCCTACATAATATTACACACGGAAAGATATTCCCAACGCATAGGGTAGTGTATTGTGTATGTAAACATGAATAGAGTTTTTGTGGACAGGAGGTCCGGAGCCGTTTTTCCTATCCTTGCTATTTCTTATAGCTGATGAAAATGTTATTTTTCCGCTTAACTTCATGTCCATTGCTGGTATGTACAATAGATTCCCAAAAGAGAAGAAAACTCAAGCCTTGAAGCYCCAAAAGCAAAAGTCATCAAATTCGTAGGATACTTGGAGATCAAGTGCTGGGCAAGAGAGGGTAGAAATAAATTGTCATGAAAGATCCTATCACTATCTTCACGTTCTATTGCAAGAAACTATCCTACATCTCTCTTTCCCATAGTCTTTCACAAACCAACCCCCTGTGTTGCTTAGATTATTACTTCCCATTTACTTCCTCGAACATGTACACCTACACAATGTACAATTTCTTTGGGTTCTTGTGAAAACCTGTGATCATGTTCATTATGTAATTTTCATAAGGCTCATTTTGGAAAGAGTATAAATACAAATATGTACACTACAAATACATACAAAATAATATAAAATATAAGGTTTTGCACTCTACATATTTGCATTCATACTCCTTTCAAACTGAGCCTAAATTTCTCATTTTTTTTACCCACAAGGACATTTCCCTGTTTTGTAGTCTGTATACATAGAGTTCCAAGAGCTCCATACTTCAATTCTTTAAAGTGCTCATCCCTTCCTATGCATAGAGAAAGGTTAAAAACTTCAATAAGCTCTCTGCCCAAAACATGTTTTTTATCGTGAAGGGACGGCAGTTGGCGGACTCCAAATAGTTGGGACCAAGGTTGAGATGAATTTAGGAGAAAGAAAAAAGGATAGTTTGCATATAAGATACATTGTTAGATATCAATTTCACACTTTGAGTAACTATACCAGTCATTTGATCGTTGGATATGTTTTGCATTCAAGATCTACTGATGGATATCAAAATCGGCCATTATGTATAAGCATGAGTAATTTGGGCCATTAGATTGACTCAATGACACTCAAATATCAAGTAAAAGTGTCACACTCAATCACCTATATATGGGTTGTTTCTTAAAATGCCCCAACAAACATGAAAAACTTTAGCTGTTGGGGCCCAATAGCATAGGCTGTTGAGAGAATTTCTAAGAATGTCACATTACCATGAGAATGGATAAATTAATAATTACATCTTAATTTATTTTTACTATAAACCAAAGCATGGACATGAATAAGTAAAGTGTCCAAAACATGCCCAGTCCAAAAACTGTCTGTTGTTGGACTCCAACAGTCAAAATTAACCCAAACATGAAGAGAAGGTTTGTTATTGTTGAGTTGGAAAGTAACTATTTGTGTGGTTACTTGAAACGCCAAAAAATAGCCCAACCAAACAATAATACCAAAAAAACATTTAAAGCAGTGTTTACCAGATAAATGTTTATCAAATAAACGCCCCTCCCCCAATAAATGCCCACAGCACCGAACACATAAAATGAATCGACTTACCAATTCGATCTGATTTATTAGGATGAAGGGAGGTATCCAAATTCTACTTTTACCAAATCGAATCTGATTGACTTATTTACAACCTTAGGTGACATGTAAGTTATTCATAGTGTTTTACAACTACACCATGGTTTGTTTCTTTGATGCAGCACATTAACGTTCCCACGTACCCCAGATTGAATAATTAATAGCATATAAAGGTCTCCAAAATTTTTTACAAATTTTGTTATATAAGGCAGTAGATAAGATTTTTTGCTTAAAAACACTGGTTTTATGGACATAAAAATAGTTTACGATTTGTTGTCATTTTTATTAAGTTTATTTGTCATAAATGAAGTTCCAAGTTACTATTTCACAAATAGATTATATATGTGAAAGTTATAATGGGATCTATTTTATAGATCCAATTAACCCAATCAATAATTGGTTCATTTCTAAATCTATTTTATAGAACTGATTAATAATTAGTTCACACTGGTCTACCCTTAAGGGTTCAAGTTGGATGGGTTGGACTAGGTTTTAATTCAACTGAAACTTAATCTTAAAGAAAACTCAAGTCTGAGTTATCCAACTTGAGACCAGCCCGCATTAAAATTTGATGCACTTGAGTTGGGTAAGTGTTGGATTCTGGTATAGGCTAAGTTTCGATTGGTTAATCAATCCACAYTAAAAATTGATATATGTATATACATATATATATATATATATATGATTTATTAAGAAAATATTAATATCTGTCTATATATACATATATACATGTATATAATTTGGTTGAGCTCAAATTGGGATAAGGTTAGACTGGATTTGCACTACTTAAGAACTAAGACTAAGCCCAGCCCAAAAAATTAAAAAGCTCAAACTTTTGACCCTGGGCCCAACCCAAGAATAAAAAATTCAAATCTAACCTTTGTAAAATTGCCGCCCAAGTCAACTTGGACTTAGGTTGAGCCTGCCCAAGTTGCATCCCTATCTAGAGATTGGTTTCAAAACTCACAAGACCGTGCACACACTATTTGTACAATCTTTTACAGCCATATATTGAAAATATTTTCATACTTATATATTTTTTATGGGAAGATATTCCCAATGCAAGGCTGTAAAGGACTGTGCAATGGTGTAAACACGGTGTTGTGAGGACCAAATCCGACCGAGCACAAGGCTCCCCAGTTGAGGGGCCGACCTCGTGGGGTCCCACGCTAAGCACAAGAACCTCAGTCATCAACACCATCACACGATGACTAGTCGGGACAATGGCGGGTGCTCGAGCCACTATAGTCCCCCTCCAAGAGCGAGAGACCGGCACCATGCCTCTCCCCCACCAGTTTCCGACCTTCACAACCTCCTCAACGATCTTCGTGCCCACAAGGCTCAGGATGTACTGGCATCCAAGCACTCCGGGAACAGGGCTAGCCCATCTTGAGCACTCAATCAACTACCTTCAAACTAACGGGCTAGTCGGGGTCACCAATAAGATGATCCTAGACGGACTGAAGGCAAGATTAGACAGAGCCAAAGGTCTTTGGCGGGATGAGCTGTGCAACATGCTCTGGCCATACCGAACAACACCTCAGACTGTCACGGGTGAAACCCCCTTCAACTTGACATATGAGACAAAAGTTGTCATCCTAGTAGAGATCGACCAATCGACACTTCAAACCGAGGCATAGTAGAAAGTTGAGAACAATGAAGAGCTAAGGAACAACCTCGACCTATTGGAAGGTGTCCGTGAACAAGCCCAAATTAGGGTCGCAATATACCAACAAAGAGTTGCAAGATACTACAACTCCCGAGTCAAAGAGCGTCACTTCAAGGAAAGCGGGCCTCATCCTCAGAAAAGTCATAGTTCCTGAGCTCGACGTCGGAAAGCTTGGCATACTACGATGAATGACGTCATCACTTTGTACGGGGCATGAGTGATGCGTGTGGATTGCCTACGCTCGTACAAGCCATGATCACACACCCTCGGTCTGGTGTGATCCTTTATTGACGCAAAAGATGAATGGAGGACTTGGCGCCACAGAGCTGCTATGAAGAGTTTCACAATCGAGGCCAATGCCTCCACACAAATGTACTATAGTCTCTTCAGTTGGAGCCGAGGCCTCGACGCAACCCGCCAACCAACCTCGGTCGCTACGACCTTGAGAGTGGGGGGCAAGTGATGTAGGAGTATTTGGCCAACCTGCAGATCTTGACACATGGCGTTGGTCGAAGGCATCTTGGCCATCCCATGGATCCTAACACGTGGCATTGGCTTGATGTATCTTGACCAACCATTACCAACCATTGCCAATTGCCGCCACCTGCTTCCAAGTACTCTTCCTCTCAAGCAATTTTGACTATAAAAAGGGGTTCCCACATTGAGGTAAACACTCCCTGGAACTCAAGATCTAAGTCTCCTCTCTTTCTTGGTCCAACCCCTCACAATCCTTTGCTAACTTAACCGTCGGAGTCTTCGCCTTGGGGTAACTCTCAGGGCCTTTGACATCTTCTTTCTTTCTCTCAAGAGGTTGGACCCATTGGGCCTTAGATGCTAGAAATTATGTTGTTGCCCTTGACTTCACATTTGGCAACAACAAAGTACAAATGTAAATATATACAATATAAATACATATAAAATAATATAAAATACATGAATTTACACTACATATTTATCTTTGTACTCCTTTCAAACTGAAACTAAGTATAATTTACACTTCTCATCTTTAATTTGCTTTTGGTCATGTGTCATGACCAACCCATTATAAAGATATTCCCTAAAGTCAAGCTAGTCCCACGGAGGTAAGCCACCCATCTACCAAGCAGCCACCAGTGGCCATAGAGAAAAAAGATGAGAAGAAGAAATGGTGGAAGGAGCGGTGAAAATATTAAAATTTTTAAAAGTGTATGTATAAATAAGGGCATTTTTTAAAGCCTTAAATAAAGTCATTAAAGTGGCTTTCAACCAATTATATCAATTCTGGTTCTGAGTTAAGTGTCCTTATTATACCAATTATGTGATTAATAATATATATACTGGTTTTCTATAATTTTTGTTATATGTTATCTCTAAATAATATATAAGGTAATTTTGATTAAAAACACTTTGTTTTATCAAGGTATATCTGAGTCTCATCTTAAAAATTTCTCAATCCACCCAAGACAATCCAAATTAAAAATTTTTAATATAGAATAAAAGGCAGGCTCTACTAGACCTTTATGACCCAACTCAAGGAATACTTAATTTGTTTACATATCTTTTTAACACAATCCAAATTAACGCCCCCCTCCCCAATGGTCTCTTTATATTATTCTTAATTAATATAACACCAAAACCAACTCTACCTGTTTCTGTTGACAAAAGATAAGTATGCACATCTTCAGAATCAAACAAGGAAGGCTGCCTTTCTGGTCGGGAAATCAAACCCCTCTCCCTCTACGTCACGGTTAGTCGATCACACAAATAAGAGACATGCTAGGGTATGGGTTAGACTTTTCATATATGTACCTATTTCTACATCTCCATATTCCCCAAAAGTTACAGGGCTATAAATATAAGAATTTCATCTTTCTTATCCTATCTTTGTTGCCTTCACACCAGTCAATCCAAAAACTAAACAAGGTGAAAGCTGAAACCATGGAGAATATATATTCAGTGTCATTATGATAAGGGCCCTTTGTTTTTTAGATTTTGAGAGAGGGTAAAATTGGTCAATAGGAGTTTGGTTCCCACTAATTAAGATGTTTATGTTTGTTTTTCTGATTTTTGTGGGGTTTATGAAAATTTTATTTTCTTGGGTATCACTTATCGGGATAGGTAAAACACATCTCCATGTGGGTAATTAATTTTCTTACTTGGGAAAAAGTTACCAACACTTGAATGGGACAAAATTCTCCCTTTAAATAATGACTATTTTATGACTAAAACAGTCATGAAACACTTATCTGAGTTAGTGCATCTACCTAGATAAATAACTTCCTGAAAAGAGAATGGGCCTAAATGGGATATAAAATAAAAAATTTAAACAAGTTTTCTTTCACAAGCATTCCAACAACATTTCTACAGAAACATCCTTATTTTGGCTCAACCCAAAGTTCTTTCCAATGCTTTTTTTTTTCATTGAACTAGGCCAATTTCTTGGATCACTATTTCTATTCTGATCCTCTAAAAGCATTCTTTTTGGCAGCAAATTAATTAGGTTGACTTCACATTGAAACAATTTTCTGCATTTAAAGTTCATACCCTAAAAACTGATTAACAATTATATGGTATTTATCACCATAGAAGTTGGTTTGGGGCAGAAAATTAAAGGGAAAATTCCCAATTAGTATCCGAACTTTTAAACGTGTCAATTTAGTATCTACCATTAACTAATTGTTAACTAGCCATTAAGTAGCATTTGAAAAAGACAAAAATGCCCTTGGAGTGTCATCGAATTTTCTTTATAAACCATCCAAACGTTGACAACAAAATTAGCAGTCCCAAATCCTTTCAAGAAAGTTAGGATCACCAGAATACCTATAGAGACATAACCCCAACTTTCTTGAATAGAAGAGGCAAGGATTTGAGACCGAATTTTTTTGCCAATGTTTGGATGGTATAAGGAAAATTAGATGACACTCAAAAAGCATTTATGTCTTTTTCAAATGCCACTTAACGGCTGGTTAATAGCTAGTTAACGATAAGTACTGGATTGGACATGTTTTGAAAGTTCAAGTAATGAATTATCGCATTTTAAAGTTCGGGGACCAAAATGACTCTAGGCTCAAAGTACAAAATACTAATTGGGAATTTCCCAAAATTAAACTACTTCATTTTTGTGCACCTAATGTGTTCTTATTGAGCAAGTGCACCTTTTTATAAAGTGCAAATGGGGCGTAGAAGGAAAGGTTCCCATCATGTTGGTATTGTAGATCGGGATTGCAAAGAAAGGGTTTTCTTCCTGACATGCAAGAATATTGGAGGATGCTGATAAATCTAGCATAGGGATGGGCAATGTTAATCCATTAGAAGCATTAAAGATAACTACAAAATTTCATGTTTGAGAGGTCATCAAAATTCCCCAAACCCTGTAGAACATGAAATTCATTATTGAAGAATGTTAAGATTTTTGTAGGAGATTTGAGTTGACAATAACTTTCATATTTGTATGCAGAGAGGTCAATTCTGTGGCTGATTGGTTAACAAACATGAGACACTTTGAAGATTTATTCCCTTAGCCCCGTTTGTTTATTGATAAATAGGGGGAGGGAGGAAAATTGGTGGGTATTTCTTTCTCATTCATCAACTTTATAGTATTATTTTTGTATTTAACTATTAGGCCTTATGGTAACAAGAGTATTATTACTGGAGTAAAATTTATTCATTGGAGAAAAAATTATAAAATATAATAGGATAAATTCATCTATTTTGACATTAGTTTTTTATGAGTAAAAAGTAATTATATTAATTACTTACTCGGATAAGTTACAAAATTCTAAAATAACAAGGATTAATTGAATTGTTATATATTTGTTTTAGTAATTCATAGGAAAGCATTCCCCTCGCTGATCGTAGGTTTTTTCCCTGCCTACCAAAAAAATGGGTTGCAAAAAGTGTTACCTTTACGAGGGGTTGAGATCCCCCGGGTCGTTAAAATTAAGATATGATGGGCAATTTGCTCATTTAAAGGTCATTTATAATTTGATCAATGATGAAGTATTCTTATTCATCATTTTATCCAAAAACATAAAAGAAGAAGAATGCGGCACGGCCCAGATCAACTAATTAGTAATTAGGAAATATTTCAAATAAATATTCACAAAATAAGGGACAATTTTTGTAGTTATTATATAATTGAGAATAATTTTCATTATAGTTCTAATGGATTCATATTTTGCCGATTTATATTATGTTAAAACAAATAATGCCTCTTGAAGGTGCCAACCAATTGGTTGGTAAGGTTTATGCTTAGCAAATAAAGAGCTCGGGTTCGTCTCTTAGCAAACAAACATAGTGGCTAAAAATGAGAAAATAAAAATTTCCTTTCTCATCCCATTATTTCTCAGCAATCAAATGAACCATTAGGTAAGTCCCTACTTTTCTCAGAGCTGACACCTACTTCAATTGTATGGTGGGGCACGGTGGGCTGAACACTCATGTTCTCCTTTTTTTGGGAAATTGTCTAAAACTCACCATGAATTTTCAACGTTTCTCTTAAACTCACCACAACTTTTCAAAATGTCTAAAACTCATTATGTCACTAACTTAACCTTAAACAGACTAACGAGTGTTAATATATTACCATTTTAACCTTCATACAAAAATATAAAATATATACAAGATAAATTAACAGGTGTTAATATATTATCATTTTAATATTTAGACATGAAAAAAGGAAAAGTTCAAAAAGATATTTTCAAATATAAAATACATAAAAACATAGAAATTACAAAAAATATAAAAAAATTATAGAGATTGCAAACAAAATAAAAAATGATTTTCAAATTATAGAAAATATAGAAATTGAAAAACAAAATCAGAAAATAAAAATTGTAGAAAAGACACCAAAAATTATAGAAAACACAAATTGCAAATAAATAAAAAAATACAGGGAAAGGTATAGATTGTAGAAAATAGAAGAATGTAAAAAAACAGAAATTATAAAAAATATTGGAAATTATAACAAAACACTAAAAATCAAGAAAAACAAGAAAATTGAAAATTGAAAAAGACTATTTTTCCTCTAACTCACATTCAAGGGTAATTTGGTCATGAAAATTGTTATTTATGTTGATATGGACACTCTGTTAAGAAACATTAACGACACACTAACGGAAGGTGAGTTTTGGAAAATAAAAACTTTCTGACATGATGAGTTTCAGTGAGTTTGAAAAGTTATAGCGAGTTTAAGAGAAATGTTGAAAATTGACGGTGAATTTTAGACAATTTCCTTTATTTTTTTAATTTGTTCATTTTGTTCCTTGTAGCTGCAGCTTCAAAACTCAGGGACGGTCTCGTCAGTGCATCTGGTCCCACTTACATACCTTCTCAAGTTCGGTCCCTTTTCCCCTTTTCCACTCTCAGAACTCAAAAGGGCTTCTCTTTCTCCCTCTCAGCCACACCTCGTTCATCCCACAGACTGAGGTGGCGACTGGCGAGGTCTTCCTGCCGTCTCAGATATGTTGGCGTCCGGAGTGGCCGTGGTTGTATGTATACTGGTTTTTCTTGAAATGCGGCCGAAGGTGATGGGAAGTAAGTCCTTTTTCTCTTCCTTTTAAGCTTTTACTTTGTTCTCACGCCTTTAGTGGCAGTAAGGCAAAAAAAAAAAAAAAGGTGGAAGCGTACTCTCCCAACTTCAATTGTTCTTGGTCGTGTGCTTAAAGGCCACTTATATCTTTTAATCACATCTTGGATTTATGGTACTGGTTTTCTAGCCGAAATGCCAAATGATGAATTCTTGGGTTTGATTGCATATTAGTAATAAAACTAATTGTTACACTGTTAAACTTTTCCCCCTGTTTTGTTTTTTGGTTTTATGTATTTATGGACACTTCTGAATGCATCTTCTTTTCTCATTTTGGGTCACAGGAAATGTAATTTATTGAGTCTCTGATTTGGTTTTTGTGGTTTTAGCGAATTTGTGCTTTTACTGTTTCTGTATTTTTGGCTTTGATGAAGCATCACTCTGTTTGGTCTCCAATTTCTTATCGGTTGGCTGCTAGTTACTCAATCTCTAAGCCACCGATAATGTTAGTGACACCTTCAAAACAAAACGTTAATAAGTTACATCTCAGAAGAGGAATTGAATTCTTTGTCCTTGAGAGCCTTACTTATTATTGGAAGATAAAATATGCACATTTTAGGGGGCGTTCTACAACATGAGTAATTTTGTTTTCATTTGTTTTTGGAATTGCTACATCAGAAAAAAAAACATGTTCTTGAACTCTAGTTTTGTTTTCAAAGGGAAAAACAATTTGGTTTTGTTTCAAAGAACATTACATGTTTTTGAAACCAACAAAATGTTGGTTTTTAAAACAAAAACAAAATTTCTAGTATAAAAATTATATGATTTATGGAACATGATGTTGAATAATCAGACGAAACATGCCTTCCAGCCAGATTCAAGAACATATTTTTGGTTTCAGTTTTGAAAGCAGAAAACACACACATCCCTGAGAACATGTTTTTGTGTTTTTATTTTAAGAAACAATCTGTTTTCAAACAATATGGTTTTGATTTGTTTTTGGAACTGGCAACAAGAAAAACAATTCAGGCTGTAGAACGCCCCCTTAGTGTTCCCTGCTCCCTATTTTCTTGAAAAATTATAGGCATTGTGTGTAATTTTCAAGTTCCATATCTGGTCATTTTATTTTTTTCCATGCATATTGGTGAGAGTACTCACATCTCTTTGTGAAATGCAATCCTTATAGCAAGAGAAACGAAAAAAAGCTCTGGTGAGAAATTGCTCAAGGGAGGAAGTTGATATTGCTGACAATGAGAACAAAGTCACAAAGATGAGGCGGAAAGGGTGTTATTGCATACATCTATTGACTTTATGGTTTTGGGGGTGGGGAATTCGGATTTACATTGGTTAGGTTGTCACAAACTTTGGTTCCATTGAAGATTGCCCCATTTGGGTGGCTACCAGGGCAATGTCTTAATGGTGGACTATCTCAAACTGTAAAATAAAGCGAATGCCCATATTGCTGAATAACTTCTTCCCTTCAAATATTTTTGGCCAATGGAGCCATATAACACCATGATTATCTACCTATTTCGACTCTTCAGGCTCTTAGGTTCCCTATTGAGTGGTTATCAAAATTCATCTTGAACACTCCATGGTCCATACTTGCGGTGTAACCTTTTGAGTTGACAATCTAGCCCCACCAGAATTTAAGGATCTAACTATATCATCATTAGAAAAGGCTCTGAATTCCTTTTTGAGTTTACAATGAGCCACCCTAATGGTAATAAGATCAACCAATGCACCCACTGAACAATTCTTGTTTAAGAAGATACTGGCATTCCACTTGTCTACACAGTCCATACTATAGCTTTGCTTAACACCCCCACTGGACCTCACATGGTTACTCCTTGTGCAAGGGAGGAAAAGCTGTCTCAAACAATCTAGATTTCATGGTTTGATTTCCCTTGTAGCCTTTCTCTCTGAGTTCACTCCAATGATAAAGCTTATTTGAAGCACTAGAAGCCCTCTGAAGGTAGTTATTTTTCCTCTCTAAGGACTATAAACCAGAAAAATATGCTTAATATTTGGGTGGAGAAGATTGATCCAAAAAAAAAAAAAAAATTGGGTGGAGAAGAATGACTGCACATTAATCAATTGGAGTTTGTGAAAGAGAGCTATAACATCTGCTTTCTTTTGGGCATAGGCTTTCAAGGATTTTAAGCAGGCCAAATAAATAATCTCTTTTAAAAGTGGGATCTGGACATTTATGGATGATTGCTTATCGTTGTCATAGATAGATATTTCAGATCCCATCTAGACTTAGATGAACTTTCGCTAGGTTGTTCACCAGGACATAACAAGGTAGTAGTGGAAGGAGATTCTCAAGTAATTATAGATTGGATGAAGGCATGCAATCAGTACCTTGGCATCTAATTGCACTTCACTTGGGAGGTAAGACACTTTTAAATGACTTGAACATCTTGTTCAGATGGGTGCAAGGGTCATCTAACTCATTAGCAGATTTTGCTGGGGACTAAGGTTGCCTGAGCTGAACATTTCCCCTACTTCCTAGAGAGCAAGGGTTCCTGGAACAGAGCACAGATTTAAAGAAGCTGAATCTAACCCAATTCGTATGAAAAAATAAAATAGAATTCCCATAATGTAGAAGAGATTGGACATTTGCTGATTCAAGGGAAAGATGATTCACTGGCTTTTCCTTCTTGTTGCACATCAAACATCTTCTGTGAGTGGGGAGACCTCTATTATTTAAGTGATTGATAGTGGGAACCTTATCAATGTGTGCATGAAGCCCTTGACCTAGCAGGAACATGAAAACCCCACACATAATCAGTCTCAACTGCCTTTGATGCCCCACTTGCTAAGGCCACATTGATGGAATGCACCATGGACATTCATCTAAGCTCTTCCTTCCATGTGATTTCATCCCCCTAATCTGGCCAAATTAAGAAAAAAAATGAACTTTTGGTGCAGCAAGTAACATTCATCAATTTATCCATTCAGGAATTATCTCTTTATTGCAATAGTTATTTGCATGATAGTTTGTGGCATCAATTGACTGTAATACAGTTAAGTACATGACCATCTTACAAGTTCCTTTTCCTGATATACTTGCAGATTGTCCACTTGATTTGAGTGGGTCAAATTTAACGCTGCTATCCTCCACTTGCTCCAACAAAGGTGACAGAGGAAAGTGTTGCCGTTATATCAATGCTTTTGTGGCAGTTTCTGTTGCTCGCTATGCTAACATGTCAAGCAACCTTGGGGTTCCTTCAGGATTGTCTGACATCTGCCTCCACTCCGTATCAGAGACCCTGGAACTATATGGGGTTCCATCAAATGCAACAGTCTTCTGTGCACTTGGTACAAAAATCCCAGTCACTTATGAGTGCATGGGCCGAATAACTGTCATGCAGATGCTAGAATCTCCAAACTTTGAGGATGTCACAGAGAACTGCAAGTTACCACTTTCAGAGGAAAGTAGTTGCAGGAGATGTATGAATGCTAGCATTTTGTACCTTCACCACCTTATAGGAGCTGAAGATAATATGACATTGAGTACTTGCCGAGATGCAACTTTTGCTGCTCTTGCAAGCCAGGGTGATAATGTGTCTACTTTTGAAATAGCAACCTGTTTCTTTGGTGTCCAAGAGCTTAATGTTCATCCAGGTATATTCTGCTCATGATGATGACTTGGAATTTACATGGGTAAAAAAGTGTATTAAAAATAATAAATTTTAGATTGCTTTGGTGTTCAAACAATTTTTCATCACTTTTTCTTTTCTGTGTTTGTTGCTTCTTAAAGTGGGAATTTTTCAGCTATTATTTCCATCGATTTGACAGTGAAAGTTTGTTTTCTGCCCCATTTTGACAAGTTAAATGTTCATTTCTCTAATTACTTGTTTTACTAAATGTTTGTGAATCTGAATGGAGGAGAATCTACCAATCATCTCTTTAAGTGTTTTTGTCAAGTTTCAATTGACTCTATTTTATTATTCTCATAGATTGATACAGGGCTATAAGTTGTTTTGTCAAGTTTCAATTACTTATTTTACTAAATGTTTGTGAAGCTTGATTAGTTTAGTCAATTGATTCAATGTGATTGATGCTGAATTGAGGTGCAAATGCTGGACCAGGGAAGATCTTGTAAAACGCTAATTATTTCCCACTATACAACACCAGAGAGTTTTTAAGTAGAATATCTCAATTACACAGGAGCTTTTTTCTTCCATCACTGAGTAGAATTTCTGAAGGGAAAAAGAAAAGATTATTAGAAAAGAAAAAACATAAAGGACTTTGAGGACTGTTAAAAAATGTTAGGAATGGCAATGGGGCAGGGCAGGGCCGGGTTTTGCCTGCCTCGTCCCTGACCCGGAACTCAAATGCCCCGGCCCGAACCCAGGCGGGGCTAGAAATCCTAACCCCATCCCCGTCCCCATGGGGACCGGGGATCCCCGAATTTGCTCCACCCTGCCCTGGTCATTCCTACTTGTATACTTACAACTTTATTTTATTTTTTTATATTTTGTTAAACCGACCTAGAAGGCTAGAACTATTTTCTATTATGTAATATATTATAGTATAATATAATATAACATAACATATGTTAACAGTTTTATATTATGTAATATATTATAGTTGGGGTGGGGTCCCTGCCCTGTCCCCAACCCCCAGAGTTTCAGGTTTCCCCGAACTGCGACCAGTGGTCAAAAAATCCACCCCGACCAGGACGGGGCAGGGCCCCATGGGGAGGGGTCAAATTGCCATCTCTAAAAAATGTTATGGGTTCCATGTGGTAATTTTCTGAATTTTATGGGGCTTGCAAGGGATTCAGGTTGGTCTTCTATTCTTCCCATCCCTCCCCCCATCTATCTATACAACCAAAAGGGTCTTTGATGAATGTTATGGGTTCCATGTGGTAATTTGATGACTTTTATGGGGCTTACAATGGATTCAGCCATCCCTCCCTCCCTCCCCTTCTTCTCAGTTGTGAAAGCTGCCACAGATGATTCTATTATTAGGTAATGAAAAAAATTACCTACAGATAAAGGGACCTAAAACTTGAATCTATGTGTATGCTGTGATGTTTAAATTGGTTGAAAGAAATTAGCCACGAATTGGTAGAAGAATAAAAAAGAAGAAGCATATTTTTGTCGTTTTTACATGCAGCTTTGATATTCCTAACGCTGATGGCTGCAGAGACAAATTGTATGTGTTATGGTTTCTACTATTTTGGTCCATATAACTTCTGGTTGTAACACTAAATTGTTTATGATTTATCATTTTATTCCTACAACTGTATGCATTGTTAATATTGGTTTTATCCGGTTGCTTTGCTTCCTGTATTCTACAAATGTTAAGTGATGCTTCTTGGCCTGTGTATTCGTTATCATCATCATTGTCTAGCTTATTCCGTATTAGTAGGATATGGATATTTGGTAGATAGTTGGAAAACCCAGAACTCAGGCTTGACCTGCCCAACCCCCCATAAAAAGACAGCAAGTCACAAGCAAAGATGAGTCAGGCATTGTTCTTTGTATTACAAAGGTTCTTGTTTAGTGAAATTCTATACTTTCTCTCAAAAATTTTCTTTGTATTACAGAAAAATCTAACATAATTTGGAGTTTGGACAAACAAGAAAATTTTCTACTATTAAAGCAAAATTTGTTGATCAGCAAGAAATAATAGCTTTATTAATGAAAGGACTAAGAAACAAGAGATATCCATACATCCGGTAGGTACATGAAAAGAAATTATTCACTATTAAGGCATTTTTTATAAAAAAAATAGCTTTATTAATAACAATATTAAGAATCAAAGAGACAGCCATAATTCCAATAGGTACTTGAATATACCCTGCATGAAAACATACACAATAAGCATAATACTCCTCCCCTGGGGCCAGCAGCCATTTAGTTCAACCCAGCTACAACTCGGCACTCTCGACCCCTTCTCTTGCCATCCCATTTATTGGCTGATCAAGTTTTTCTGTTACTTTTTATACAATGTTTTTTCTGCTACTTTGCATGCATAATAACTTTGCCCAGCTCTAGTTCCTTGAAGAGAAGTGTGTTAATCACCTTACGGTTTAAGATTTTGGCACTCTTTCAGTCAGCAATTTGTGAAGGTTTTGAATTTCTACAGTGGTTGAGGTTGATTGATATGCTTTCCTAAATGAAACAAGGGTTTGCTTTATCAGTCATTTAGTATTTGTAGAATTTGGTAGGACTCGTACCCATAAACACCATCATCACAATGCAAAAGAACTTGTGTTCTATCTGTTTTGTTTCATGATGTGTCTTATCTCTCCATCCATTTGCCTTACCAAGTTGAATGAATAAAAAATCATTCAACTTGGTTGAGTCACATCTGGGTTTTCCAAGTATTATTTGGTAAGTGACAGTGTGATTCAACAAAGTCTTGAATCCAATGATTAAAAACCCCTAAGCTATAATAAAATGTCAATTGGAACATTTTTATTGCGATTTTTACTCCTGAAATGCTACTTTATAATTTACATTTTGGAATTTCTTAACATAAAATTATGAAATTTAGACTTTAGAATGCCCAGATATTGTTTTTCTTATTTGCTTTGTTCTTTTCCTTTCAGTTTCTGTTTCCTTCTCTTTTATTTCAATGAGAGTTTTCTTTGATGATACTATCAGTTATTCTATGTATAACTATTCTTTGGATCAATGTCCTTGGAACAATTGTAATGGTTCTGTTGCATTTACAGTGGTTGCTTCAGATCCATCCTCACCTTCGCTTACACCCGAGGCTTCTCCAAGTTCATTGCCTGATGCTAGCCCTAGCCAGCTTTTAGTAGGAATACCTTCTGAAGAACATCACCATCCTTACCACCTCACAGTAATACGTGTTGGCATTGCAGTCACAGCAGTTTCTGTTTTTCTGCTGATAATTTTGATATTTCTCATCCATAGGAAAAGCAGAGAGCTAGGGGATTCTGAGAATCTTGATAAGACTTGTTGGAATGTTTTCCCTCCTCAACCAATTCAGAAAGGTCAGGATGGTAAGTTCATTTGGATTCTCTAATTCCATATTGGTTCACAATGATTTAGATATACAGGACATAGTTTCGTGTTAATGCAGGGCCATCTACGTTTCAGAAATTCAGCTATAAGGAAACAAAGAGGGCCACATACAATTTCAGCACCACCATTGGACAAGGGGGGTTTGGAACTGTCTACAAGGCTCAATTTAGTGATGGTTTTGTTGCCGCTGTGAAGCGGATGAACAAAGTTTCCGAGCAAGGGGAGGATGAATTCTGCCGGGAGATGGAACTTCTTGGAAGATTGCACCATCGCCATCTTGTTTCTCTAAGGGGATTTTGTGTTGAAAAACATGAGAGGTATTCAATTCGTATTAGTTGTGTTTCTTGCAATCTCATACTCGTGTAAAAGCTAACAATTTTTGCCTCTTGATGGGCAGGTTTCTGATATATGAGTACATGGAAAATGGAAGCTTAAAGGATCATCTTCATTGTAAGCATGTGACTCCGGATTTTTTCCTTGGTTCGCTTGTGTTAAATGTTGTCCTATAATTACTAATTACCTGATTAACATGCATTTCTTCAGCTACTGGGAAAACTCCACTGAGTTGGCTGACTAGAATCCAGATTGCCATTGATGTTGCCAATGCTCTGGTAATTTATGAGACTTTTCATTTGGACCACATAATCCAATTTCAGTAATTAGGATCTTTTGGGTGTAAGTCCATTTAAAATTGTTTTTATACTTGCTTTTCCATGGTGGAGCCCCCATCTGGCTTTCCTTGTGCAGGAGTATCTCCATTTTTATTGTGATCCTCCTCTCTGTCATAGGGATATCAAGTCTAGCAATATCCTACTGGATGAAAACTTTATTGCAAAGGTAATCTATCTGGTTAGCTGGAGGCAAGTTTGTAAATTTTCACTAAACCTTGAGTATTTGTAGCACAATTTGTTCTTTATTTTTCCTTTTTCTCTTCCAGGTGTCAGATTTTGGCCTTGCACATGCTTCAAAAACTGGCTCAATTAACTTTGAACCAGTGAACACTGATATCTGTGGAACTCCAGGTAAGTGATGATCCATGACAAACCAGACATGCTATTTATTTATTTTTAAATGTTCTAAAAGAATGCCTATTGGATGACTTCAGGTTATATGGATCCTGAATATGTTGTTACTCAGGAGCTGACTGAGAAGAGTGATATATACAGTTACGGAGTACTGTTATTGGAACTGGTAACTGCCAGGCGAGCCATACAAGACAACAGAAATCTTGTTGAATGGTCTCAGCAATTCATGGCAACAGAATCAAGACTACCTGAATTAGTGGATCCCGCAATAGGGGATTCCTTTGACTTGGAGCAACTTCAAACCTTGGTTACAATTGTGAGATGGTGCACACCAAGGGAAGGAAGAGTGAGACCTTCAATTAAACAGGTTCTGAGGCTGCTATATGATAGTTTGGACCCAATGCATAGTGGTCGTGTGCAAACTGTGGAAGATGGAGAATGTGAAGGTGATGAAAGTGGAGGAAGGACGAGTAAGGGGAAGGTGCAAGGGAACGAGGTAATCTTTCACAGTGGAGATGCGAGGTGTCTTCCTTCTTCAAGTACATCCAGATCCTACTGAAGCAGGAGCGTTTTAATTGAAACTGGTTCACCATAATCACCTCCTGGCATTTCCTCTCTCTAAGATAATGTGGGATTGCACCATAATCTTTCATCGGCTAGTATATTATATTTAAGAGTAAAAAATATATCCTGGACAAAGGGATGAAACTGCCTCCAAGTCATAGGTATGCATAGTGTTCATATTTATCGAGTAAAATCTTGTTTAAGAATGTGAAGGAACTCAAGATTATTACAGAAATTGCATCCAGACCACGAGAAATGGCAATGCTCATTGTTTATGGTTACTAGGCATTACTCTTTTTTCCCCTTTCCCTTTTCTTCTTTGTTTTCCGCTGCAAAGCTAAGATGTAGAGTTCTGTATTATTCAAACATCATTGCAGTGTAACAAGTAGCAAAGCCAAGAAACGTCAAATGTAATTTCACAGGTAATTTAAGTAGTGTATATGCCCATTTTGACGGAATCCAAAACTAGTTGAGATTACTTACCATCTAAATTCAAATTGATCGAAACGAAATGGTGCTTTATAATTGTTGGGTGCAATCAAAGGTTCAAAGTATTGGAAATGTAGAGTGTTGGAAGGCAATTTTAAGAGACATCTTTGGATAGGATGAAAAAACCAAGAGACATGGATATACCCTGCAATGTGTATGGTAATGGTGATGGTATACGAGTTACGAGGCTATCAGCGTCAAGCAGCAATGGCTATAACAATGCTGATACAATAGTGGTTGTTGTGTTGGTCAAATCATTTGAAGAAAGAAATGATGAATTAAGTTTTGGTATGGACCATTATTGACCACTTGGAATTCCAGATCTACGAGTGCAGGGACGAACTCAGTGGAGCAGTGAAGATGACAGAATTAACCCATCATACCACAGGTTTTGGTCCATTCCAAGACTAGAAGAAAGGTGCAAGAATTCCATGCAGCTCTGTTTTTTACAGTTCAAATCTGAATGAGTGCAAATTTCGCAATCAGTTCGGATTTACATATTTTCGTATATTGCAACTATTATCTGCACTCTTGATGTAAAATTTGCACTTCGTCTCATCCATGCTCATTGACTGCAGATTTTGCATCTCAAACTGACCTGAAATATGCACACCCTTTTTTACTTTAATTTTCTCTTAGATAAAGTGGGGACTGCATGCTTTTGCTTCCTATTTTGCTCCTCACAAATAGACAACCTTTCTCCTGCTTTCATGTAAAGTGGAAAGGAGAATGTGTCAACGGCACTGACTTCAGTTCTTCGGTGTGCAACAAGAAGCTAATCGGCTTCGGCGCTCGATTCTTTAATAAAGGCCTAATTGGTAACACTCCCAATTTGACCATCTCGATGAACTCCACTCGCGACACCGGTGGTTCTTCTACGGCTGCGGGGAACTATGTAGAAGGTGCGCCGCCATGTATAAGGCCCTTTGGGACGATGGTGGTTACTTGTCCGATATCATTGCTGCAATCGACATGCAGGCTGCAGGCAATTCTGGACGGTGTCGACATTAATTATTTCCTTGTCTTTTGGCTTGGACAGGTTGCCTCTGTACGCTGACCCCATGGCCATAGCCAGCTTTGCAGCCATTGAGAAGGGCATTTTTGTTGCCTCATCGGCTGGAAATGAGGGGCCTTACTCTGCAGGGACCCCTACACAATGGAACACCGTGGCTGCTAACTGTAACTGCCGGTACTTTGGATCCTGAGTTTCATGGAATTGTTACTCTCGAGAATGGAGTTTCAATTACAGGGACGTCTCTGTACCTTGGACAAGAATGATTCTCTAAGTGATCAAGTTGATTACGTTGGCTCTGCAAGAGTACCCGGAGCCATCTTCTTATCCAGTAGCTCCAACTTGGAATTCTTCATTCAGAGCTCGTTTCCTGCAGTGTTTTTAAGCCCTCAGGATGGCCAAACAATGCCCTGCCTGGACTACATCCAGGGGAACTCTGTCTCTGACTCGGGGGTAAAAGCAAGTTTGGAATTCCGGAAAAGGCTTATTGGCACAAAGCCAGCGCCAAGGGTAGCCAAGTACAGCTCCAAGCTGTCCTGGCGTCTTAGAGCTTATGGGATCTGGTTCCTTGGTATTAGCATCGTGGAGTGGGCTCAAACAAGTCCTGTGGGGGACTCCGGATCACACATCCTGTTCAGCAACTTCAATCTCATATCTGGAACGTCCATGTCTTGTCCTCATGCAGCAGGAGTGGCAGCACTACTAAAAGGGGCACATCCCGAATGGAGTCCGGCAGCCATACGGTCGGCCATGATGACGACGGCCGATTCCTTGGATAACACAGTAAACCCCATCAAAGATATTGGATACGGTGACAAAGCAGCCAGTCCTATAGCCATGGGAAACGGCCACATAAATCCGAACAAGGCACTGGATCCCGGCCTCATCTGTCATCTATGACGCAAATTAGACGATTTCGTGAGACTCCTGTGCGCAATGAACTACACCGTGAACCAAATCAAGATAATCACAAGGTCTTCTGATTTCAATTGTTCAAACCCATCTTTGGATCTCAACTACCCATCTTTCATCGCTTTCTTCAACGCTAATGATTCATCTTCAGATACCAAAGTCGTCCAAGAATTCCTAACGTTGGGGATGGGATGCCAACATACACCGCTAACTTGACACCGATGGATGGTTTTCAGGTAAGTGTGGTGCCCGAGACGCTGATTTTCCGAGAAAAATACGGGAAGCTAAGCTACAAACTCAGTATAGAAGGTCCAAGGAGGATGAAAGAGATGGTTGAGTGGTTCATGGTTATCTCAGCTGGGTCGATGATGGAGGTAAACATGTGGTGAAAACTGAAAAGTCGTCTCTTTCTTGCAATTTTGGGGTTATCTCAGTAGACTAGGAGGGAGGGGGGCTGCAAATCAGATTTCTGAAGGGGATTGCAGTCCAAAAATCTTTTTTTTTTTTGGTAATTTCTTGCAAGTTGAATGTAAGTTGCTCAATTGTGATTTGTGGAGCTGATTGTTGTACTTGTACTCACGGGTACCTCACTTACCATTCATTCGTAGTAAAAGAAATTTAGACAAAAAAAAGTTATTATTTCACCTTTCCTCAGGCTCAGATTTTATTTCTATATCTCAAAAGTAAGGGCTAGCATTTCGTACTCAGTACAAGCAGTGAGCTGGCCGTGTTTCAGTTGGAAGTGGACCAGGCCAGCCAGAAGAAGGGTTAATCCAACCCCGTATCATCCAGGCTGTGGGCCAGCCTAAACTGGTTTGAATTTGAGTGAAATTTCAGAGTAGCCGGAGTCCATACCAAGCCAAAGCCAAGTTGAGCCATTCCGACCCATATGTTAAGTAATAAGTATACTAATAGTTTGCGCATTCTAAAGTATATTAATAAATCACAATATATGATTTTGGAACAATTGCAGGATGGGCAGATGTGAAATAAGAAGTAGATGGCATGGAATAAAAGTACATTAATTGAGAGTTGAAAAAATGGCCTGAACAAGTGGGCATGGAAAGAGAGTTATTTGCCATTGCTCATCAGCAGGACAGGCTGAGGCCAATAGAGAGCAAATGTAGAGAGGCCAGAGCCACCACAATTCAGGCTACAAAGAGACAATGCTTTTGGACTGCTTTCATCTTTCTATGGCAAGTGGGGAAATAATCATCAACCAGATTGTCTTTAGCTCATGGAATTTGTCAATCAACCATGCCATGTATTTATTTAATTTAAATTATCATAAATTGAATTTATTTTGTTTTGGTGGGAGTGGGACAAGTAATTAATTAAGCGATGTGTTCCTAGCTAGTCAGACTTTGCTGAATTTGAAATCATAGTTTTTAAAAACGATCCGGTCATGGTCTGGTTACCGGTCTGACAGTTCGAACCAAACACTCAGCCCGTTCTGAGAAGAAAATAAAAAAAATTCAAAAAAATAAAAAACGGTTAAAATCGTTCGAATGGTTAATCGTCCGGTTCAGCGGTTTGTTCACCAAAATCAACGGTTTTTGGGGAAAACAGTGACCAGTTCCCAGTTTTTCCAGTTCGATCGTCTGGTTTTGAAAATCATGTTTGAAATCTTAGTGTAAGAAGCACTCAAGGGCGGTGTTTGGCATCAATGCCATTGCTCTCAAAAACAGTGACACATTAGCATCATGTTGGAAAAATTGGTGGTCCAGGAAATGGTAACATGTTTAAAACCATTTTTCTATAAAGAACGATTCTTTAAACCACACGTTGGAAATCGAGAAGACATGGTTGGGAAAACACCGAATTCGACGCTTTCTTAATTTGAAGCTTGTTGCTGCCAACAAGAACATGATGTAGCAGTGGCATGGACTTCCTATAATGGGTACCAGTGCTGAAAATAGATATGGAGCACTAGTACCAAACAGAAGGTATTGTTGTTGCCACAGAAAACATCCTACTTAACAGTAATATTTTCAAAAAAAAGACACTATTTTCTCAGAAAATGATACTGTATATATAACATCGATTGCAAACATATACAAAATTACTGAAAATTAGAAAAATAATCAATATTCATACAATGCTTATTGTGATGTTGATGGTTGAGCTCATTTTAATTGTTGTTTCATTGAATACTTCAATAAAGATTATAAATTCTAACTTCTGATGAGATGCTCCACCATCCAATTTTTAACTTTTACACATCATTTCCTTTCGAAAATTAAAAGAAAATCTTTACTAATTAATATAATTTTGACGGTTGCCTTCAAGACAACCATTCTCCTCTTTCACAGGTACAAATTAATTAATAAACGATATAAGGAGCTTGGTGCGGGAAGGCGACTCAAAGGGATTCAATCAGGTGGAAAATAATTGGCTCCTACCTGATTTTCTAATTAAAGCCATTTTACACATTAACTTCAAGGTTGAAGGGTTTAGGGTTTAAGATTTAGGGGTCCATTTGGTTTATAATCGGAATCAGAATTGAAATCGGAATAGAAATCTTTTGGAATCGGAATTGAAATGGCCCATTCTCATATTTTGTTTGATTTAAACAGGAATAGGAATGAGAATTAAAATCAATAGGAATGGGATTCCATTGCCAAGGGAGGGGTAGGGAATGGCCATTCCCTCAAATGGGAGAATACCATTCCAGTAGGAACGGGAATGAGATTTCGATTTCGCCCAACCAAACAGTTAGATTGGAATAGCCCATTCCCATTCCGATTCCAGACCTCTATTCCTACAAACCAAGCAGACTCTAAAATTTAAAATTCAGTATTTAGATCTGAAAATTAAGAGGTGGTCCGATGCATTCGAACTACCATAAGGAGCCGTCTTGCCCCACCATATTCCATTTTATGGTGGGGCAATTTTACACATTAACTTCAAGGTTGAAGGGTTTAGGATTTAAAATTTAATGTTTAGATATGAAAATCAAGAGGTGGTCCAATGCATTCATCCTACCATA